CCTCACCCTGACTCCCTCCCCCCAACGCCCTCACCCTGACCCCCCTCTCCCCAACGCCCTCACCCTGACCACCATCCACCAATGCCCTCACCCTGACTCCCTCCCCCCAACGCCGTCACCCTGACTCCCTTGCCCCCAATGCCCTCACCCTGACTCCCTCCCCCACAACACCCTCACCCTGACTCCCTCGCCCCCAATGCCCTCACCCTGATCTCCCCCTAACACCCTCATCCTGATACCCACCCCAACCCCCACGTACAGTGTGGGCAATTTAGAATGGCCAATCCACCTAACCTGCACATCTTTGGACTGTATATATGTTTGCCAATTTACACACAGCAATGTACTAGAATTAGCAATCAGATTAAGATATTGAGGGTCTTTTCTGGTGCAGTGACAGTGTTCCTACCTCTGGAAAAGGGGGCCTGGATTCAAATCGCAACTGCTCCAACTGTAATGTGTTCTGAAGAAGGGTCTCTGGACCTAAAACATTAACTCTGCTTTCTTTCCACAGATACTACCAAACTTGAGTTTTTTCCAGCAATTTTGGTTTTTGTTTCTCATTTGCAGCATCTGCAGTTCTTTGTTGTTTTTGTGTATAATAACATGTCTGAACAGGTTGAAAAGAAATGATCAGGTCATCTGTTTTTGAGAGTTTGGTGGAGAGACAATTTTTGCCCAGTACTCCCTTGACATTTTAGTAAAGTGTTACGTTTTTATATCTACCTCACACACCAGATGATGCCTCGATTTTTCTGACCCAAAAGGTGACATCTCTGACAGTGCAACATTGCAGATATATTGCATTGAAGTGTCAAGCAACTTGATTGATGTTTGAATCAGAAGTAAGAATGCCAATTTGAGGCAAGAAACTTAAAAACTTCTGATGAAAGAGTTATTGACATCTCTCAACAGACCTACTGAGTACTTTCTAGCTGTTTTGTAATAATCACTAAAAAATGTAACCGATGAGAGTCGCTATCTATACAAAGGAGAGCTGGCAGAGGAACATCATAGTTAAACTTTCTCAACAAATTTATTGACTTGGTCTTCTCAGTGCAAAATATACCACCATCAGGAAAATTCAAATGTTCAGTTACCATTGGTGTGCTTCCCTCTGGGCAATGGCTCTCATTCAATGAGGAACAGTCTCCACAAGGAGCCTAAGGAACATAGAAAGAGAGTGAAGTTAGCTGGAGGCCAGTGAAAATCTTAATTTACGGGGTGGATTTCGTGATGTCTCACACCAACAGCAGCCAGTGCATATTGGAGAGTAGCAGAGATTCCTGGTCAGTGGTTACAGGACTGGTAGATGCACTGGGGTAAAATAATTTACAATTAATTCTCAGGGCATGACTAAAGGAGGTGGCTTGAAGTATTCCTTCCAGTTTGCCTCACCAGCTGTATTCCTCAGGTAGGGCTGGAAGCTAGTAGCACACGGTGGGGGATACAATGGTGCCAGGAGGAACATCCTGCTCCTGCCATATGTTAGACATATATGAACATGCATCCAGCCTCAGAGACCCAAAACAGTTGGGTTTAATCATACTGGCTCTAAAACCACAATTTAAATTTTGCTTTAAATATGCAGATTTCCATTTATCTCAATCATGGAGAATATTTTAACATGATACATCAGTTCAATATTGTATCCAGATGAAGAACAAGAAACAGTTCCATGGGCAATGCACTTCAATTACACAAATTCATCCTATAACATGTACAACACTGTGTCATCAGATACAGATATTCAGATTCTATATGTATAAACATATGTTACATCATTTTAATAACACTGGATATTTTGCGTAATACTTCCATTAAAATTGTTCCTAAATCTATTACATTAATAAACACTACAAGAAAAATGAATCATTGAATATTGTATAAAACAGTCAAATTACTATCAGCAGTGACATGTTGCTTGACTTTACCGTTATTATGCGATAGCGAATTTCATCACATCTTTTTGGCAAGATGGGAAGAATTGAAGGAGGAATAAGGATGCCATCCAAAGTGTGAATGATGCCATTTGAAGCAATAATATCTCTTTTATGTAAAGGAACACCCTTGTCACCCAACAAAATCTGGCCCTATGAATAGATAGAAGAGATTTCTTTCAAGAAAATTCATGTTTGAATCAAGATGACATTACTTCATTTCTAGATTTCGGCTCAACTCATTATATTGGAGTATTTTCTCAACCAGAGGTTTTCAATAAAAACATTATTGTGCCATTTCATCATTGCAAAAAACATTCTCACCATTATTTTGTGCTCTAGAAATAAAATTTGACACTGTTCATAATGTTTAAAAATAATAAATTTCAGCTATCCAATTATAGCTAGAGAATCACCTACAATAGTTTACCTTCCATGCCTGAACTGTTACCTAAAGGCTACGTAAGAATCTACCATTGGAGCCTCCTATTTCTCACTTGCTACTCTTTGGCAACATCATTCAAACAAAGTATTGTTTTACAGATATATGCTAAAGTCAGCCAATGCTACAACATTATTACCATTCTTAACATCTCTAAATAGTCACATTTCTTATCCAACATCCAGTACTGCATCTGCAGAGATGTCTTCCAATTAAATATGGGATGGATCAAAGGCAATACCTTTGGTTACCATTCCAAACTCCTTACCCTAACCAACTCCATTTCTCTCCTTGATATTAAATCCACAAGAAGTGAAAGTGATTATAATTTTTTTTAAAAAACTAGACTTCTTGCCAATTTAAAATAAACATGTAGCCTACAAATGGCTTTTATCAACAACATGATTTCCAAGTTGGCTACGCTAATGAAATTTCCAGTAGAATAATTCCAAAGGACAAAACTAAAACACCACTCTTCTGGAATCTGTTTTCACTGTGTGCATATTACAGCCAATGTTACAAAAGAATAATACACTGTATGTATATCTCCCAAGCACAGACTGGTACCAAAGAGAGCTACTGAAACTCATTAAGCCTGCAAAGGCACTAACTGTCCATGCCATTTATGTCATACAACACCAATTTTTGAACAGAGACATACAGACAAATGTCATAAACCTAACCAACTCATCTCATGATCAAAACTCTTAGGGTTCCTGAACACTTCAATTGAATTTCTGGATCCCCTACTTAAGGCTGTTAACATCGTAGACATATTCAATGCCATCAATGGAAAACCAGATTCCAAATTGAAAGCTAAGCCTGTCTAAACCTCCTCAAAACCTAAGTCCAAAGGAAAGTTTGTATTTACTGGGAAAATGGGCCAATTCTCTGTACAATATTCTGATATCAATCTGCTTTTATCAACTTTGGAAGGAAGTTTGCAATAAAAAGTTCAATTCACTCTCCCCTCTCCATAACACACTTAACTATCTGAAGATGACCTTGGGCATTATACTTGGTCTGAGACAAACCTCTGACAATATCCAGGTATCCACGTCTTCACTATGACCACTATTCCAACCTGTGTAACAACTCCCAAATTTACTTCTTCTGTTTACTTACTGCTGACATCCTTCACTACGTATGTGTTCCTTCTAAATTTGATTCCTTTAATGCATTTCTGGCTACCTTCAATCTTCTTAAATTTAAGATGACACAAATTTCTGTTCTCCCTGTTCATGCATTCAAGTCCCATTCACCCATTATCCCTGTGACATATTAGCTCCTGAATGAGCAAAGCCTGGAGTTAACTTTCTCATTGCTGTTTACAAATGCTCCTGGTGTTCCTTTCTATTTCTGTAACTTTCATCAGTCCTACAATTGTCCCAGGTATCTGCATTCCTTCAATTCTAACCTCTTGAGCATCTCTAATTTTAAGCATTTTCATCATTGACAGGCGTGCCTTCATCTACCATGGCCCTAAACTCTGGAATTCTTCTCTACATTTGGACGTCCGTGGACAAGCAGCAGCTTCTGTCTCACTGTTTTACATTATTATATTGTAACCCTCTGTGTCAAATGGACTGTTGTTAAAAAAAGTTAAATTAAATTTCTGGTATTTTGTAATATCTTCAAAACTGGATCCAAGTTATTTTCGTGAATAATTCTTCAATTAGCATATTTAAATTTGCGAAAATTACTATAAAATGTTACGTAATATGGATATTCTGTATAAAACATGGAATTTGTACATAAAATAATTCATTGATAATTGGAAAATCCTCCACAATCCTTATATTTTAGAATTAGAAAATGATCCTGGAGGTCCCAGAATACGAGAACAATTTGTATCAACCTAAAGCATTCAAATCGTAAAATTACCTCAAAAAAGTAAGGGTCATATTAACAAAGTGCCTTACCATTACTTTGAAAAATATTATAAAGTGAGTCACATGAATTAGTTTTAAAGAAAACTCAAAGAATGAAAAGAAGAAATATTCTTACTGCTTTTAGAAATGTAAAATCAATTGCGATTTATAACTACTTTACGTAGCATCATTCTAAAGTCAATCTTGTCTGCCAATCTGCAGATTTTTCTTTTTGGCATATGAATATATTTTCTTTCCTGGGCTTCATCTGCATATGTATAGTACTTACGTTAACGGTAACATTGATGGTTATTATCTGGTTTGCCTTTGTCAAGATTCGAGGCATAGTTGATAATCTGTCTGCTGGCAACTAGAAAATTAAACACGAGGTTATGGAAATGCTTTTTAGATTCAGTACATTGTGCGGTCAACGAAATACTGTGAACGATTGTCTTGTTTTTCACAAATTTCAGCTGTAACTAAGCTTCTTCCCGATATTCATGTCTGACTGCTGCCAAGTCTCATCTGTAGATCTCTTGCCAGTCATCATTAGTGCCCCTTGACTAACCATGAATGTGCTTGCAGGTCAATAACAGCCCTGCCAAGTAACACCGCCTCCCAATATGCAGTAGTATGTCATTATGACGTATTCAAATTTGATATTTCAGCCAAATACCAGCAAATGCTCTCCATGAGAGTGGAAAATTCATGGATCAGATTGAAATGTAACCCTTCAATCCAGGGCTCAATATTCTACTGCTTAACCTTTTCCTTTGACTTTTCTCTGAACATTTTGAAGAATAAAGCTGCTTACATTGCCAGATGCAAAGATATGATGTTTCACAAGCTCTTGAAGTTTTGGCCGACCCTTGTTTTAAAGAAAACAAAAATGCAAGAGTTTACATGGAAGCAATGACTAGATAGGAAGTTCAACATTTCACTGATAATTCCAGATAATTTAAGTGTGTTTCTGTTTCTTATGAAAGCCAAGAAATATTTTTTGTCTGGCTTTCATTTGTAACAGTTATAACTTGTCTCTGCTTCCCTCTTTTTTCTCCATTATTTTCAATATACAGAAATCAGTTTATTGTAAATCTACAATCCAGCACATGACACTTTCTCTGCATGTATTATCAATAAAGTAGAAATAATGTTCCTTCCAGTTGTGGAACCTAAACTTGTTTGGGATCTGATCTTAATTTAACCAGTTTCAATCCAACCGGTGTAACATATTTCTTGGACTTTAAAAAATTAATTTCTAACCATCTATCACAATCTAAAGTATCACCCATGAATAATCATCCTTTTCACATAGGCTGTGCAAAATAGTACTGCAACTGCAAGTTATGAAGTAGTGATATAGGAATCATATAGCAGCGATATAGACAGTTTGCTGTGTAAGTGCTGGCAAATGCTAGGAATTACAGGAACTATGTGAATCACCCAGTTGGTGTGTCTTCGCAGCCTTCCCTTGGGGAACACTGCAAAAGAGGATTTGCAGCTGATTCATAATCTCATAGGCCACAAAATATGAATGTATTGGCCACAGAAGAAACAATCTACATAATCAAACACAGCAGTTAAGTCCTCTACTGCTGCAATGTTTGGTGAAGTCCCACAACGTTCTATGTTGGAGAGTGGAAGGGAAACCATGTTCACTACACATAGGAGTTTCCCTAACGAAGATTTCAGAGACAGAGTTCTGGGGCAGGGCTTTGAACCTCTACTGGGCCAAAGAAGAGAGATAGGTATATGTTAAAACCAGTGCTATTGGCTGGTATTGTAGGCCCCCAGATCCATCCTGTCCACAGGCCATTTTCCCAAGGGCAGGATGGTGGGATGGCAGGACTATCTTCCTACACATGACAAGTGATGGATGGCCAACTACTTTCGTGAATTGCTGTTTAATAATTTTCCAATTGACTTCCAGATTGTTGGAGCATGCTTTCGGCACCAGGAGGACTTCTCCCAGTGACAGAGAGAAGGCATACCCAGCATGAAGCTCCCTCTCCCTTGCCTACCCTCCATGACTTCCTGCTGCTGTTTCAAGATAGATGGCCTCTAATTTTCTCTCCAGCTTCAAAATCCCACCATCCACAATCAATTGGCAATCCACTGCCCTCTGGGACAAAAAATATTTAATGGACTGTTTCCCACTGTTCAGACTTTTGACCCTTATATAATCTTGATGGTGGAGTCCAGAAGCTTGCCGAAAAATTCAACCCTTACCTCAAAAAGTCACGAGATTTATAGTGAGAAAACACCAAAACGGCATCTTTGGACCCAAAGGTATTAATGCCATCACTAAGCAACAACTTCATTCCTCTATCAGCCACAAAATAACTATTATTAACATGATGTCATATATGACTTTTCAATTGGTGGTTCAACAAAGGGAAATTCAGAGAAATGTCATTTCTGTCTGATTAAATGCACAACCTTGATCCTTCTAAGTTGAGAAATTTCCTGACCCAGCAGATCCATCTCTTTGAAAAGGATAGCTGCCTGCTGTATTTTCTTTTCCAACAGGCAAAGTTGGCCTGGAGCTAGGCGCAAGGCCCAGGTGGTCAGTTGGCTAGGCTGTGAGGCTGGGATGCCTGCCTTAATTTACTGGGACATTGGCCCAGTTTACTGATGCACTCTCCCATCCTTCATAGTCATTAATCCAGCATCACTGTGGGAAAACGTTAGGAAATATTTGAAACAAACAGGGAAAAGAAGTCGTCCAACTAACCTAATGGAACCAACATATTCAAAGGGATTTCTTACAGAAAAATATCTCATCCATTAAACCCATGCAATAAGTGCAAGTCCCTTCAAGTGGTTAATGTTTCGTAAAAACACTTATCCATTTACAACAAAGACAGATAATTCTTCAACAAATTCTTAAAACTGTCAATCAAAATGTAAAAACTCTCAGCAGGACCACAATACAGTTGTGAAACTCAACCAAGCATTCATAATTGTCACAAAACAAATCCTGCAAAATGTCTACAACAGAGTCCACTGAATATGAAACACCAGGTAGCCTTTTTTAAAGCAGGTGCAGTTTCATTTCCTTTACAAAGCATATTTCTGTTCAGTCAATGAAGTGAAACAGATGTTTAATATTTTTAATGTTCAATTGGAGCAAATTTTTTTCTCACTGAATTCTGAACTTTTACATCTGAGTTCATTTTATGACAAAAGAGCACCGCGGCATGTATCCACAGGTTTGAAGGCATTATGGCAGTTTCTCCTCAGAAAAGTGCAGCAATGCGTGTCAATCTTCATACTATGGAAGTCAATAAAATGGTCAACTTACTTTTGCAGGCCAAATTTCTATAAATGATCGTTGCAGGAAAAACAACTTTTAATTTATCTAGTTATTAAACCTGAAATAACTTTTCTTTGTATTTCAAAGCCATCAATGAATGAATATCAGGAATAGGAGATGCTAGGAACCATATCTCCTACCAAAATGAATTCAACACCATAAAAATAGTTCAATATCTGAGTGCTCACCCTCACAATTGAATTGGCAAGGGTGGTATTGTTTAAAGTGTTAGTTTTGAAAAGCGTTAAAGTTGGAGACTGCACTAAGCGCCACCTAATCTGATAATGTCATACGGACTTTGGAGTATATAAGACAAAGCAACTCAGCATCTTGAAGAATGAAGATTTTATCTTGGGTCTCTTCAAAGCATCAATAACGATGTCTATCTTACCAACACAACTTGCTAATTATGCTAACATTGTTAATATGCAGTAAACTAAATGTCATTTAATTAGGGTCTAATTAAGAGTCACGTGTGGCTTTCCTCTACCTCTGTAAACCAAGTAGATCCTTAGTCCCAGTCAAGGAAAGATGGCAGTGGCAGCAAACTAGTCCAACCACAAACCAGTTGTTGCTGGCATCACAAAACATGCAAAAGGAATTGCTCAGTGCAGGCTTAATACACTTATCCTGGAAATAAAAATCCCATGTGATGGAAATAAAGGCAGGAATCCCAGAATCAGGTCAGGTCTGCCGTTTTTAAATCCCACCCTGCCTCTGTTCTGACATGGACGGAGGCCTGAAATCTGAGCATAAATGCTGCGTTGCATTTTCACCTAATGCAACAGCAGTAAAATCCATTAGTATGTATGAATTGGTTGCACTGTAATGTGACAATACATGAGCTTGCCGCCTTGATTTTACACAATGGGAGCTCCTGATTTCTATTAGGATGTCTGGAATGAGGAACAGGGTGGAGGCATTTAGCTCCGTGGATGATATATGATCTTAAAATAAGGAAAGGAGAGACTTAAGAACAGATTTCCTGTTCTTGGTGCAGTGATATACAAAGAGGAAGACACAGCAATTGATAAAATGAGAAACAAATTATTCCCTCATAAAAGCGGCAGAAAAAAGATGTATTTAAAACAAAATACAATTAAGTCTGTGTTTCCAAAATCAATTATTTTCAATTATCAATTATCCTCTAATAGAGGATCCATGTTTGAAAATATTAGAAGAAGTAAATTTAAACCCATAAGCTTCAGTGTCCCTGACTTTGCAAAATTCTGTCAAAATGATGTGAATGGTATAATTTCCCAGTTCCTCCATTCTCTGTGAAAATAAATACAGTTTGATCTGTATTTATGATATACTGAGTGCAACCAGTACTGTAGAGAAAAAAAATCACTTTGCACTTCAATATTTTTCACAATTTTCGAAAAAAATGTACTTGTTTGAATTAAAATTCAAAATGACTTTGGAAAAGCAGAGCATTACTGTAGCTTTACAATCTGGACAGCTCTTAACAAGTACAATGCTTATTCATTTTTGTTTGGGCTCCTACCTCACCAAACATATAGAATAATGTTCCATCTCTCATCTTGTCCACTGCATCATTACTCGGCACAAAGACTGTGTAAGGACCAGGGCCATCCAAAATGAAAGGGAGATCACAATTCTATCAAAAGATTAAATAATAAAATTCTTCTCATCTTTTAAGAGTCAATAAAAATTCCATCCATGAACCATACTGCATTATAATTGAATAACACTATCAATAAAAGATCAAACATCTTTATCTAAGAGCAATTTAAAGGCATTTTTCAAGGAAATACTTTTGTTTACAAAGCAGGGAGTTGCAAGATTAAAGAGTATAGCCAATACATAAATTCTTCTATAATTGTCCAATCTTATTCACTGCTAATGTTGATTTTATTGAGTTAGCAATGTCGCACTAACAACCACTTCATGTTAAGTGAATGCTATTAACTCAGCTAACCCATTCCACAGAATCATTCTGTGTAAAAGAAAGTAAACTCAAAGAAGAAAATAAAAACTTAATGGGTTCACCATTGACGCAAGAGTGACTTTTTCAATTGCATTATGGAGCTTTGGAAAAAAGTACATTTTCCAGGATTCAACTGAACCATCATTGCCTGATTCATCAAAAAATTTATTTTACATTCATTGGCTGCTGCAAAAGCTGTTTTAAAGTGCCAGATTTTATGGATTTTGTCACTTCACAGCCAAGATTCTTTTTTTCAAGAAAATGTTTTTCTTATAGGAGGAGATGCGGGGTTGGAACAGGGGTCAGAGTGATAAAATCAATCCAGCAACATCTAAATTTAAAACACATGATCTATTTCCTGTGTGACTGCAACTTTTCTGGACTCCATACACATGCAGAAAACATTTTCAACATTGGGCACCAATCATTTTGGCTGATTATTGAAATGGTGACAAAGTCTACATTCAAGCAATTGCAGTGTCAAAATGCCATCAGCCAATGTAAAGCATTAGTTTTTACAGTGCCTTTGGAAGCAGAGGCACCAATTCTGACCGGCACATAAATGCTCCAGGAGCATTTACAGTCCTCCTTCTTTGCTGTCAGCAGTCTCGAGTTTGACAAGTCAACCAAAAGGTTTTCATTTGCTAAATCTGACTGGACCTTTCTTAGGCAGGGAAAGAGGTGTGATGATCAATTACGAAGTCATGATTTATGTTCTTAAAACTACATCTTGAAATGGTTTCACAATCAAAGTATGTAAACGAAACATGAGCCTACATTAAAGCCACTAGTCTCACAATCATATTAACACTAAAGTAAGGTTTAGTTCCAGGGAATTCATTGAACAGAAGCCCAAAATTACGTGCAGCTAGGCTTTTAATTTTGATAGGCCAAAAATTTGGAATGTATTTACCTCAAGAATGGTTTCAAACCTACTAAACAGCTGTCCTGCAGCAAGAATATCAGCAACAGTTTTCTATTTGAAGGAAAAATAAACAACGTAAGATACACACATATCATTTATCAATCTCTGCATATGTAACAGCATGTATGAAAGAAACATTGAAATGAGAAAACATGAACGTAGAAACAAATGTAAAAAAATGCTTTGCTTTGTAAATACAGTGAATTGTGTGAAGCTCAATAACAAATTCCTCAATAGCTGAAAAAGGGTAGACTTTTTCAATAAGTGCAGAAAATTGAGCCCTCAGAACTAATTGGGATTGAATCTCTCTTCTGACATAATGATAGAAATAACATTCTTAATCCGAATACAAAAATAAAATTAGACAAAAAGCATTAAACACAATAGTAAATATAAGACCTGTAAAAATTACAGGCTAAAATAATGCATGAGCCAATGAGTACATTAATATTACATTTTTATACAGGTGATATAATACATTAGTCATTTAGTAGTACAAAACTTAAATATTGCTGAAAAAATACACATTTTCTAAGCTTTTGGTCGTGCATTCATCTGGATAATTCACAAGAAATACCAATAAAGGGAAGAACCAACAGTTATACTGTATGAGAGAAAAATGCTGAGTGGATGGCAAGTGGACTTTCACTGGTAGAGGCATTGCTGTGGAGAATGCAGCAACTAGTGATGACTGACAGTTAATCACCACACGTTGTTTACATTTCAAACCAGGCAGGTTGTCTCCTATTGGTCGAATCATTGCCGTGAGAAATGAACGAACAAATGGCTGTCATCAATTATCCTGGGATAGAGAGGACATTTTGAGAATTGCAACCTGTAACTCATGGAGTGCCGCAGGGATCATTTCTGGGTCCACAATTATTTACAAATATATACTGATGACTTGGATGAGGGAAGTGAATATACTGTTGCCAAGTTTGCAGATGACAGAAAAAGAGGTGGCCAAGGCATGTGCTGAAGATGACACTAAGGTTCTGCACAGGGATAGAGACAGATAAATGCAGCTGGCAAAACCTTGGCACGTGGAATATTATGTGTGAAAATGTGTAGTTATGTACTTTAATAGGAAAAATAGAAGGACAGAATATTATTTGAGTGGGGAAAACTGCAGGAGGCTGCAGGACAGAGGGCTTTGGGAATCCTCATGCAGGCATGACAAAAAAACTAGGATACATTTTCAGCAGTTAACAGGGAAGGCAAAATGAAATGTTGCCTTTATTTGAAAGGGAGCAGAATTTGGAAATTGGAACTAAAAAAAATTCTATACAAGGCATTAGTCAGGCCACATCTGGAATACTGTGAACAGTTTACTTCCCCTTATCTAAGGAAAGGTATACTAGTTTGGAGACAGTCCACAGAAGGCTCAGTAGGTTGAGACTGGGTATGGAAGGATTTTCTTATGAGGGGAAGTTGAGTTGGTTGGGCTTATACTAATTCGAATTTGGAAGAATGAACGGAGACCTTAATGAGACCTTAATGAAATGCATAAATGTTATTAAGGGGTTGACGGGGTAGGTGTAGATTTTCAATCGGTCATTCAGGACTGTTTGGGATGTCAGTGAACAGGAGTTCAAAGAAGGAGGACAGAGTGAAAAAAGTCAGTTAAGTATGTGAAAGAGAAGGAGAGGAGACTCTTCATTAGATTTTCAGCTGCATTGTAGGGAAATAACTAAAGTACACAGGTTCTGTGTAGGAGATTCAGGGAGAAGACACAAGTATTTGAATACCTGTGATGTATTCAGGCAGGATTGTCCTAGGTGATAGGGGACAGCTAAGGATTGGAGTCAGGGATCAGGAAAAGCCAAGGAGTTGTGGTCACTCAAGAAGCCTGGCGCCACTAATAGATTGGTATAGTTGACAATGGGGGTTGAAAAGTTCATTAGCAGTGTCTACATGATGCAACAGAGCAAAGTTAGAGCTCATGGAAAACCACAGTGAAGATCTAGCTTAGCTGTCAGCAAAAAGCTGGAGTTGTGCCAATGAATGAGTACAGTTTCTAAAGTCCAGGGAAACGCAGACTGAGAAATAAAGGTTAATCGTCCAGATCAGAAGCAGACATTGAGGTAGTCCTTGACAGACCAGCTCTTGAGAGAGAGCTTCAAGGTCAGCAAAAGTGAACAACTTCAATGACATTTGATGATCCATTCTGTCATTAAAATCCAGGAATAATTGCTGAATAATCTTTGTGATCTAACATGGCTGTTTGATGTTCATCTCATGCTAATTTTGGGATTTAGAAATAAGTTCTGCATTTACTGTATATTGTGTTATTGTTCTAACTTATATGGTATTGTTTATTCAAAACTGTGGAATCTTGTGGCTTTATTCTGTTAACAAGTCTCATCTCATCTCATCTTTGATCTATTTTAATAAAGCAGAAGGATACTGGCTCCCTCATCAGATTGTAACATAACTTGGTGATCTCAACATGCATTGTAACAAAGTTGGCAGTCTGGTCTGGGAACATAATGTAATTCGGAGCTCTTGTGGGATTTGTAATCCACAGCAAAATACATGTGCTGGAACCTGATATGGTTACAGCTGATTAAATTTTACAGTACATATTGAAAACCAAAATGGCTTTGTGAATTGCTATGACTTTTCTGGGGCGAACAGATTTATCCCTGAGTGATTTGCAAACAATTATCAAGACTAGGCAAGTAACATGAGCTGAAAAGTTGCAGTTAGAATTAAAAGCAAAAGCAAAGTGCATAGTTGATGTAACAACACAGTATCTGGGATTGGAAGGAGATAAGAGTACAGCCCAGGTGGAACGCAGGTCGAGTTGGCTAGGATTCAGTTACAGCTGAAGTAGCCTGAGACAGGAAGAGAGATCAATGTTTGAATTTGAACTTCAAAGAATATGAGAAATCATGAAACAAACTGGATAAAGAAAAGCTTAGGCTATGGGTAGCAAGAGAGTCCAGTATTTTGGCTGAGGAGGAAAATTCCATTTTTAAGTTTGATTCAACAAAAAATCTTCCTTTTCCACAGAATCCCTACAGTGTGGAAACAGGCCCTTCGGCCCAACAAGTCCACACCGACCCTCAGAACATCCCACCCAGACCCATTCCCAAACCCACCTAATCTACATATCCCTGAACACAATGGGCAATTTAGCAGGGCCAATGCACCTAACCTGCACATCTTTGGACTGTGGGAGGAAACCGCAGCAGTTGGAGGAAACCCACGCAGACACAGGGAAAACGTGCAAATTCCACACAGACAGTTGCCCAAGGGGGAATCAAACCCAGGCCCCTGGTGCTGTGAGGCAGCAGTGCTAACCACTGAGCCACTTTTGTTCCTAAATTTATGGAATAGGAGTATAAAGTCATTTTACCTTATTGGGGTATTATGGTCCAGACCAGACCCCCTCAAAAATACTTTAAGAAGGTAGTCCAGACCCTAACTTTTTCTTATCTTAAAGGTAGATATGAAGTGCATGTTCCAGACGTGATGTGACTGGTCAAACTACTCAATGTTAAGTAAGATACAACTTATTTGAACACTGTAGTTCAAATACAGACAAAACAAAGAGAAATTTAGAATAACTTAACTTTTCGTAAACTTAACCGAATAATGGATAAAGTACCCATTACTAATTAACTGGTCCAATATAGCAACATCCCATAAGCACACCCCTTGGCAAAAAGGCAAATTCAGACACAGAGTCTTACATGCAGTTCTCCAGGAGAGAATTTTCAGAGAAAGTAGCAGCTACGAATCATTTGCTGAAGCTTCCAACTCTTCTGAGAACCCAAACAGCTTCTGATGCTAAAGCTAAAAAAAATACTAGAAAGGGTGGTCCGTGAGAGCTGGCCACACCCATTCAGACTGTCTCCATTGTTCCAACTTTTTAAAAAATCCTAAAGGCCTCACAGTCGTTTACTCTACTGGCTCTGAGGCACTTGACGCCTTTGCCTTACAACCTCTCTTCAAACAAAAAAGGACAAAATAACCTCTTAAAGTGACAGCATTGTCACAGGCGAAAGTTGCTAAAGAATCAAAGGCTAAAGGATACATGGGCACTTATGCTAAATTGTCCTGACTGGTGAAGCAGGGGACATGTAATTTAGCCTTTTGAAAGAACAATCCTCAGATGATGAGAAGCTTAATTACTAAGTTTAGGACAGTAAAGATGAAACCCAGTGAGACATTTGCTGAATTCACTGGGGACAAGGAAATATAATGAAATCACTGGCATTGCTGACTGAAGTTCCAGCAAATGTTTGAAAATGTGATGGGAATCATGATTATGGAGGAATTCAAGAATAGCATTCCAGTAACAATCGAGTCCAATTTGGTTGTGCATCAGTTATTTAAAGTCAAAAAGTCAGCAGGTCCAGTCAATGTATATAATATTTCCCACAAACAGCTAAGTGTTGGTTTCCATTTGGCAACTTTTTAAGCAGAGAAGCTGGGGGAATAGGTTAAAGGCAAAAGCTGTCCCAAGTGCTAGAAAGGATAATATAGAGAAGAAAAGTAATGTTATGAAACCAGTATGTTTTCATTGTCATAAGACAAGGCATTTAAAAGCAAATTGTTGCAAGCAGAACACTAATCTGGAGGGAGTAACAGGAACACTTAAGGGGTCTTCAGAAAATACAGTACCAATAAAAGAAATGAATGTTAAACCAGTGGAAATGATGCACATGACAGGAATTTCCACAAGGCAAATTTGCAGCAGAAAATGAAGTTTGGAAGGCATCCTCTGCATCTTACAGTGGGAATTGATGGCAGCGCCAAGGATTAGAAGTGGTTTATATCTGAAAAGTAAAGCTCTCCATTTTTGTCCAAGGAAAAGCCTAAAAAGATTGATATCCTGAGAGACATTGATATGGCTCGGAGCTTAATGCTAGCAAGAGTGTTAATGGAAAGTGTGTCTCCTCCCCATTACACAAAGAAAATTTAAATTGTGCCCTGACAAATGAATCATATGTAATTAGAATTGTTCTTAAATTGCCTATTATAAATATGGATTTTATATTGGTAAATTATGTAGTAGGCACCACGGTTTCATTGCCAATTGAGATGGACTGACCCAATTTGTAAGTTGTTTTTGTGAATACAAATTCTTTGCCTAGCTGTTGTTACGAAGTTGGGTACAGTATTCATGAATTGGAAGGCAGAAAGTTAAAATTAATTGGTAAAGATGATTGTGGGGAGAAGAGTGCCATGGCCCCTTTAAGAGCTTGTGCTTGGAAGTTTATAAATGCAGGTGCACAGAAAGTGCCCGAATGGAAACATTTTATATAGAACAACCAAGCAGCACTTTTTCCAAGACAACAAGTTTGAATTTGGCCAATTAATTTAAACCAAGCACCTAGGTACAGAAAGCCAATTGAATTTAAATCTGATGGTACTGACAACCTGAAACTAATCATATTATAACAATTTGATTATGTCATTACGGGTATTTAAGACAAGATCATTTGAAAAATTGGGGAGAGCCATTTGCCACCTCCCTGAGTTAGCACCATTCAGCTCTCAGACAAAGCCCATCTAATTAATCAAAGGTACCATGGTATTTTAGTTCAAAGTCCTCATTGAAGAAATTATAGAGATAAAAAATCCCTGACAGCAGAATTAGTGGGAGAAACGCATTTGTGAAGAGAGCAGAGACAGCAGAATATTCCAGAAGACAGTCTGTGTGAACTTGGACAGATTAAGTCATAACTCATTGTTCTCTTATTAATTAAGTTTATTAAGTGGGGCTTGGGTCTATTTGAACAGTATTCCAGTAGAATTTAGATCAGTTAGGAAGCAGTTAGTAGTATGGGGGGAATTGTCAGTTTGTTAGTAATTCTGTTAATTTATTTGTTGTTGGGTTAAATAAATAAATTGTTTCTTGTTACTTGTAAAGTGGAGTGCAGGGATATTCTTGCTTTTAACCACTCTTTTAATAGATTACGAGGGGAAAGGCGTGCTTCTCTGGGTGTTTCAGGAGTAATTATTTGAAGGGAACTCCTACTCCTGTCATAACAGATTGGGGCTTGTGTTTTAGAACATAGAACAATACAGCACAGTGTAGGCCCTTTGGCCCATGATGGTTTAGTTTAATTATCAGAGGGGTTTGGCTATTCCTCCTCCATAACATTGTAATCCAGTTAAGTAAAGAATTGGTTCAAATAAAAGTATGATGCGTACGCATCAATAATAAGACTACAAGATATACGAGCAGAAATAGGCCATCTGGCCTTGCAGGTCTGCTCCACTGTGATCAGGGCTGATATGTTTCTCAAACTCATTCTTCTGCCTTCTCCCACTTAGCTTTGATCCCCTTACTAATCAAGGACCTAATCATTTCTCTTAAATAAATTAATGACTTGGCCTCCACAGCTTCATGTGGCAATGAGTTTCACAGTAGCCCCATTCTTTGGGTGAAGAAATTCCTCCTCATTTCAATTCAAAAGGGTCGTTTCTTCACTCTGACACCGTGCCCTTGAGTCCTACCCTCTCCTATTAATGGAAACATCGTCTCCACATCCACTCTAAGCAGGCCTCTCAGTATTCTGTAAGTTTCAATCGGATCCCCCCCTTATCCTTCTAAACTCCATTAAGTAAAGAGTCCTTTAACACTGCTCCTATGACAAGCCCTTCACTCCTGGGATCATTCTTCTGTACTTTCTCTGGACCCCCTCCAGATTCAATTCCCAACCTTCCTACAGTATTCACAGAACTGAATTTAGACTTCCTCAGCTTCAAATAACCCTTTTAGTATTCTAACCAAACACTTCTGATTTGGAACTTTCAAATGAAGTACCTTACACTGAAATTACCATATCTCTTTTGGGTGAAACCGCTTTACACATCTAACTTCCACTAAGAATTCTGAGAACTAAAACCAAAAGGCTTTTGAAGCTGTCGATTCTTCCCTTAAGCAAAAGAAAGAAAATCCAGACGCTTCTAACTGGAAACAGCCTGTGGCTGTTTAAACCTGTCCAGCTGTAAAAACACATCCAATGCAAACAAAACCCTATTACATTCCAGGAAATCTCTCTCTCTCCCATACTGGGTTTTAAAGCAAAACATGGCTGCAGAAATATGAAAATTTGCCCATTTAAATTCCTTCTTATACACAGAGACTAAAACCTACATGCCACTAGTTCAAACACTAAAATTGATTATATTAAAATATATATAAATGACACGCCTTACATCACACTTGTCCTGACTTTAGGTTTTTATAGGTTTGTAAACATAATATATGTAAGTAAATAAATGAAGGAGTAATCTATAACAGTCTGCAAGAAACTCTCTGTTAGAAGTTAATGGTAAGGGCTGGTTATATTTTCAAAGTCATTGGAGAGAAACATTCACCATAATGAAACTTTGTTGGCCGATGGTAGATGTATGAAGAAATCCTCTACTTATATCCATTTTTTTTTGTACCGAGCAAGCCAGCAGTCTATGGCTGGTAATATTCATGGAACAGGCACTTTGAAAAGTTGCTACATTCAACATTCAATTCTCCCCAGCAACTGGGAGGGACCTATTGCAGGGTTTTCAATAGCTTAACTCAGAAAAGTCAGAGTGAAGTAAGCCAATAGGTTTATGAAAGAGAAAGAGAGTAGATTCTTTGTTAAAAATACTTCTTTTTAGCTATATTGCAGTGAAGCAACTGAACTACTTAAGTTCTGTACAGGAGGCACAATGAAAAGAAGTCAAGAGCAGTTGAATATCTCTATGCTGTTAGAACTTAGTAATTCTAGGAGACTGAAGGCAGATAAGGGTTGGAGTCAACGGTTAGGAAAAGTCCTTTAAGTTGTGATGAGCCTTACAACAAGTCACAAGCTACTAATAGATCAATATAGCTTTGAGTGATGGATGAAAACCCATTAGCAATTTTTACTTGATGGAACATTAGAGACCAGAGCAAAACAGAGGCAAGATCTAGCTTGGTGAAGCTAAGTTAATTAATCAGTTTATTCGAAAAACTATTATGTATAAAATTTAATGTGAGCTTTACCTGTGGATCCCCGAGATTTTCAATGTTTCCAGATAAAAACCGGTCAATCGTGTGAATGATTCCATTCGATGCTGCTTTGTTGCCCCTCATGATGTTGTACCTTTTATTTTGAAATATAAGCTGAAAGTACTTTGCACAGAAAAATTAGAAAGTAACGTTAGTGAACAAATTGGTTCCTCAGATTGGAAATCTTGAAGTTCCTAATTGTAGCATTAGTCTAGAAACGCATCGGAAGACAGCAATCCACTATTGTGTTACTTTTCTAAACAACTGTACAGACATAGATAGAGGAATCTAAGTGTCACAGAATGAAGGATGTAGGAATATTGGAACACAAGGGGATGACACAACAGTTTATGTATCTGAAATAAAATCCTGCTATTTTAATATTTTAACAGAAGACTTCACTAAAATGACAAAAATGTGTGATAAAATAAAAGATCAGAAATGTGAGAGCATGTAACACCACTTATTTGAGTAAAAGATAACTTTTAAAGCATTTCAACTATTTTGCCTGTTCTACCCATGTCACAGACCAATCTTCTCCCCTCCTTAGGACACTGGTGTCTCATAGAAGGCCCTGGCATCCTTTTTCCTGTTACGCCTCGCAGCAGGTATGTGTCACACCCTTAAGGTACATGCTGATGATGTCACCAGAAGTCACAGGCAGAAGAACTCATGGAGAGGCAAATTGAATTGGAAATCGTACGTATGCCATCGAAGCCTCAACAAAGATCTTCTGGGCAAGAAAACAGTCCTACTATTGAAACCTTGCTGGATGATGGGTGCTGGCATAGCGCCACAGCAGCTCCACTATCCATTATATGCTTTAGATGCAGGCAACACTTTTGTCACAGTTAGAAATATGCACCAAAGCAGAAAGATGTGTCATGGATCTGCTTGTGTCACACATAGCCAGCAGTTATTCAACATTTCTTCAGGTCTGCAAAATATGGGCACCAAAGGACATTGGGCCCACGTGCAGAAAATCTCATTTCAAAAGCTAAGCTAGACTCCGAAACATCACCTAGATAACAAACAAGGTGGCAAAACACCTCAACACTGGCAGCAAGTAAAATCATCCGAACAAACATGTACATTACAATATACATTTTAAAAGCTCATTAGGACTCAGACATATGATGATTTGCTCTGAAAACTACCAAAATGTCCTTGCTTTCTGTTTCGTGGATGAACACAATAAAACTTTATACGACAGAATGAAGATAAACATTGCTGTTAGGCTGTACTCCTTTTGAAAATTTAATCATTTTATTCAGAAGACCAAGCAGAGGTGAACAGCCAAAGGTATACAGCCAACAAACCAAAAAGCAACCTTTAGAAAATGATCAAGTCAAGTTGTCAAACTCAGGTACCAGTATCAAATGGTAGAAGGTGATCAGAAGCTTTTATAACTGTTAATGCGCATATCCCCAAAAAGCAGGTCAACATAACCTAAACCCCAAAATTGATACGGGTGCTTGTGTCAACATATTACCATTACACAAGCAAAAAGTCATGTGCTCCAACAAGTGGTACTCTGTGGTACAACTTATAAAAGACTCTCTCACATCATTTAATTCCCTGCAGTCGCACCAATCACACTGCAGTGGCAGTAAGCGTTCCAATTGGATTCCCAAAATCTTCTATGTGGTAGATGCCAAACATCCAGCATTGACATATGCACAGATCTCAGTGTCGTAATCATCCATGAGATTCAAACCATACCAATGTTTGGGAGAATGAACAGACCACAGGACTTTGCTCTTCAAATAGGGTGAGAATGAAACATCACCAGCAAAAACTACCAGAACTGTGTACCAGACAGAGAGTGCAAGGCAGTCATGAATACTTGGAAACCACAAAGGATTTGTAACATAAGCATACAGCCCATCAAATGAAGACGTGACTGATCGTGGTACTATATTGCAAAGAAATAGATGCCACTTCAGATCAATGTATGAAATGTCAAACATGCGCAGAGAAATGAGGAAGAAAACTCTGATAACAATGATTGTGTAGCAAGGCTGAATGGTGTCAAGCCAACCAAGTTGTCAGCCAAGAGCACAGAAAACAGCTCAAACTTCTGCAGTTGGGAAAATGATCACCAGATCAGTACAAGTTGTCAAGCCGCCAAAATTATATGTAAAATTATATACTATAACAAAGTTTTAATTATTCAGCTTGTTAACTCTGTTTATTCACAGCTGTTTAATTGTTGAATTGACAGCATGCATGTACATACATCTGTTTGGAATTTCTTTTCTTTAGAAAAAGAGTCATGTTGTGCTGTGTCTCACAACAGATATGTGATAAGGAACTTGCTCATGATGCCATCACCATATTGTGGCATGTGACCTGATGGTATAAAGATTTCAGTTTCTATCTCACTGAACCCTCTTGCATCATGACATGCATCATGAAGTATGTTATACATTTAAATTGCTTGGCTTGAATCCAGCCATGCAAATGCCTGTGACTGTAGCATACATATGTAAATATCAAGTACTTTATTAAAAGTTCATTGAATTCTTTCGTACTACTTTACCCACATCTCATTCGTATGTTAAGGGAGCTATTGCAAGTATGACATCATAACACTTGAAGATCAATTATCACATCATATCACATCAACTTTCAGTGCGCAACAGAAACCTCTTCATATTTGGGCCAACACAGTGAGATTCGGCACATTATTTGATCACAGTCTGTCCGTCTCCCCCTCACTTGAAAAAATTGTTGGGAATGCATTAGTCATTATGACGTACCAAGAAATGCCATCCCATAAACTTCATTATTGGAGCCCAGCTAATGTTGAGGTAATATTGAGTTTGATAATGGTGATGGCAACGTTATGGTCCTTTATCTTTAATCCACCATATTTTCTGACTTCCACAGGGCTGAGGGAAAGCAAAATGATTTGCCAGGGGAGGAGATGCCCCTGGAGCAGCTGTTCCCCTTAGCTGAAGAGTCAAAAACAAGGGGGCACCATTTTAAGGTGAAGGGGAAAAACTTTTGTAACCAGAGGGTGTGATGGGAATCTGGAATGTTCTGCCTGGGAGTGCAGTAGAGACGGGAAACCTCACAACCTTTAAAAAATACACTTATGAGCTCTTCAAATGTCATAACATTCCAAGGTGAAGGGCTATGTGCTGGTAAGTGGGATTAGTATAGGTAGGTCAATGGGCCAAAGGGCCTCTTCTGCACTGTATGAGTCTATGCCTATGACTGAGGATAGGAAGGGGATGGAGGAAAAGAAATAAAAAAGACCAAATTCTCTTCACAGCTTAACCTGATCTCATCTGATAAGGAACTGGAAATTCTACAAATGATATTACATGTTCTCTTGTGTCTGATCTTACAGATGAAAATCTCAAGTGATCCTTCTCAAGGGCTTTCATCAAAGACATCCAAGAGCAAAAACCCAGTAAGCATACAATACAATCAGATGCAAGTTTTTCCCATCAAATAGATGCTGCTCAATCTGGAAATTCTCTGGCTTGAAAAGTTATGGAGCCATTTGAAACTTTACTTAAATATCTTCCAGTTTATGACACCTAGACGTTTTTCGCCTTCAAATACCAATGATGAGTTCACTTTTTGTAAAATATTTCAAGTAATTAATTCAGCTATCCACACAATGCAACCTGCTAAAAAAATGTATCATAATCAATAATCACAGATACAGTAGAAAATTAACTAGGATTTTGATCATTCTTACCTAAATGCAGCTCAGGGGATAAACTTAAAAAAGCTTTCTGTGATGAGTTTTATATTTTCTTGGGATATAGTTTTCTTTCATTGTGATCTATCACTATCTTGCCTATTTAGTCTTAATAGCTATATTGCAGAGTAATGAGAGAGAAGCCAAGCTGCTGTCATTGTCACCCCTGCAGCTGTGAGCTGAAAATTGCCAGAGACCGCTAGAGGTGATTGTCTCTTTACTTAGTGTCACCTCATTCAGCAAAGGTTGAGCAGAAAACCAACCTACAACTCCCATCTTTTCACTTGAAGAGAATTAAATATACACTTCTAATTTAACTATGAAATATTTAATCTTTGAAAATGCAGGCAACTATTCTTGTAATTGGCAAAACATACAACATTCAAAACCAAACACTCGCACTATAAAAATGGCCCTACCTTTCTTGCCTGGATCACTTCAACCGTATCACCAGTCAATGTTTCAAAGGTTGTAATATTTTTAAAGTCCTCGAGTAGTAAAACACCAGGTACAATGTGCTGCTTGCATGAAAATTTGCTTGTATCAATTACCTTTGTTGGAATACAACACAGATAGAAAATGAAAAGAGTATCAAAGGAGAACCATATCCAGTTTAATGCTTGGAAAGATCAATGATATGACTCGATATATTTATTACATTTTTGAGATGTGGTTGATTCAAAATGAGTTTATAACCTGTTTTGAGCCCATCTGAGGCCATTTTTCAACATTGCTGTCACTATTCATACAAAACTGGCTTTAGGATCATTGACTGTCGACTATATGAGCTAACCTTTTCACTGAATACATGACCAAGAAAATGTTTTCAGTTACATTTTCCTAAGTAAATCATTTGAATGAACACACAGAACATTTTGGATGGAAATTAAGATAATAAAATTTAAAAAGAAAGACTGCAAAAATGGAAAGGAAAACTTATTCTATACATTTAATTGAATTGAATTAATAGTACTCCAGTAAAGTACTAGATTTGCTGGGAAAGGTCAGCACTTGTTCCAGTATTTCAATTTATGGTGTAAATTACTTTTCAAAAATTGTCCAGTGGGGTGTCTGAAATTTCCTAGTGCACAATGCTACAGTTAAAAGCCTATCAGAAAACATGGTTCTATTTTTTTCTATGACTACACTTAAAACAGAGTTTCTAGCTATTCATATGAAAATAACTTAATATTGAACAAAATAAATGGTCCTTGAAACACCATTCAGCAGAATGTTCCTCTTGAAAAGAAACAAATATATGTCTGTACCCTGTGTTAAAAATTAATAAATGCAAATTATCAGGAATGAGTGACAAATGGTGTCAAATTGAAAGCTTGATGTGCACAGTAGAGCAGATTCAGGTTTATTTGCAAACTCCTGGATGTGATTCTCTTGACAGCCCTTTGCCTGAATCTGACAAAGCTGATTACCATCAAAAGCAGAAAGGATTTAAGTTTGATTTCTGTTTCACTGATTGAACACTGATTGAATAAAACAGAGAAACAGGCTCTTTGGCCTACCAAGACTGAGCCAAGACATGATGCCTTTCTAAAGTAAAAACCTTTTGCCTCTAGGTGTTATGTATACCTCTACTTTGTGCCTATTCATTTATCAGTCAAAATGCCTCTTAAACGTTGCTATTTTATCTGCCTTCACCACCCCCATTCTAGGCACTTACCACTGTGTAAAAATCCTTCCTATCACGTCTCCTCTAAACTTACCCCCTTTTACCTTAAATGTATGTCCCCGAGTAATTGATATTTCTACCCTGGGAAAAAAGACATTCTCTCATAATTTTGTAAACTTCTATCAGGACATCCCTCATCCTTGGACTTTCAAGTGAAATCATGCCAATTTGTCCAATCTCTCCTCATACCTAATACTGTCCAAACCAGGCAACATCCTGGTAAACAGTTTCTATACCCTCTCCACAGCCTCTACATCCTTTTGGTAGTGACCAGAATTGTACATAATATTCCAAATATGGCCTAACTAAAGTTCTATGCAGCAGCAACATGACTTGCCTATTTTTAAACTTATGCATCAACCGTTGAAGGCAAGCATGCCATCATGCCTTCTTGACCACCTTATCCACTTGTGTTGCCACTTTCAGGGAACTGCGGAGCTATAAGCCTATATCCCTCTGTATTAAGGGTTCTGCCATTTATTGTATACTTCACTCCTGCATTAGATCACCCAAAATGCATTACCTTGCATTAAACTCAGCAATTGAAAATCTGTTGGAGCCCTGAGGGGCCATATACCAGCCTGACTTTCAGGCAAGCCTTTATATGGGCATCCAACACTTCAACCCAAAAGAGGTAAAAAGCTGTTCAGTCATGCAAGTTGGAATCCTACACTTACTGTCCACTGACAAAATGGTAGTGAGACCCAAATCTGAAAGTGATGCAGGCCAAATGGCTGCTATATTAGCTGGACACCACTACACCAGACTTAAACTGAAAGTTAATAACCATACCTTTCTAGGCATATTTCAGAAGAGTCAGGCTTGGGCAGCCCCAATGGTATCAATGTGGACTTCACAAGCTTCAAAATCTCCCCTCCCTCGACCACATCCCAAAACCAGCCCAGCTCGTCCCCGCCTCCCGAACCTGTCCTTCCTCCCACCGATCCATTCCTCCCACCTCAAGCCCCACCGCCATCTCCTACCTACCAGCCTCATCCCGCCCCCTTGACCTGTCTGTCCTCCATGGACTGACCTATCCCCTCCCTAACTCCCCACCTACGCTCACTTTTACCGGCTCCAACCCCGCCCCTTTGACCTGTCTGTTTCCTCTCCACCTATCTTCTCGTCTATCCACCTTCTATCCGCCTCCCCCTCTCTCTATTTATTTCAGAATCCCCTTCCCCTCCCCCATTTCTGAAGAAGGGTCTAGACCCGAAACGTCAGCCTTCCTGCTCCTCTGATGCTGCTTGGCCTGCTGTGTTCATCCAGCCCTGCACCTTGTTATATATTATTTCAGATCAGTCAGTTGTGCATTCATTCCAATGAAAAGAGCCAAGGTGAGCCCTAATCATATCTTTACATGACACAGATTACGAACATGAAATAAAACAGTCTTCATTAATTAGAAGTCCATTCTCCCCATCTTTTGGTCTCTGCCTCCTCCCTGCCCTGCGTGCTAGCTGGGTATACAACAGCGTAACACACTGTATTGTTGACACCTGACACTGTGCATTGGTGTTATGCACATAAGCCTCAACACTCCTAAATTCTTAATCTTGGTAATTCCTGGTTTGTAACATTACTTTTCAGGATTCTGCCACAGCACATTGAATCTCAAGCTTCTTACAATTCCCAGAGCATCTAACGAATAATGTGCAATGCACAAGAACATTCTGTCATCCACAAGCCTGCAGATCATTTGATAAAGAAGAAACTGGGCTTTTGTGGTTTTCCGTTCAAAACTGTTAACAGGATTTTTCTGAGTAAACTACATATACTACATAACTACATATATATTATATATGTATATTTAGTTTTATATATATGTAAATAGGAGCATATTTGCAACTTGTCTTATCCATGATCTGAGGTAACTTACCTGGTTGTTTTTCAGTTTCTTGACTAGAGGAAGAAAGACTGTAAAAGGTCCCATGTTACTCAATGTTGATGTACATCCATTATCTGAAAACATTAAAAGAAATGCCAAGCAAAACATATTTAAGCATCTCTTTTAAAAAACAAATAAAGCTTATTTACTCTAGATGAAAGTTGAAACAGAATATTACTACAAAATTAATTTCAAGCAATAAAGGCCCAGATTTTGCAGTCAAAATCATGGTGAAGCTAAAGGAAAACCAAAGGTCATGTTTCAGTTGTGTTGCTAACTTTGCGAAAATAAAATCTTGCTAGCTGTCTCACTATTGACAAGCTCTGAATAACATGAAAATATTGTATTTGCATGTAGATATAAACTAAACTTACTGCAGAATGTTGTCATTTCAAGCTTAAGTATGCCTTTAGTAACGTTAAGTGTGAATTTGCTGCCAATCAACCACCTTCGCAGTGAAAATTAATTAAGTCTGAAGTTTCATTTCTTCAGGAACTAATTGTTGTTGGAGATTTAAAAACTGTAGAACATAAAATAATTTTAATTTTACTCTTAACTTTGCCTCTTCTCTATCTTTTTTAATCCGATCATTCCTTCCTTTCTGTCTTTGATTTGACATTGAATTCTCCTGCTCCAATATACACTTCTGTGTCTGTCCTTGTGCTGTTAATTCACAATCACAGCAATCTGACTGGTTAAGAAGATACACAGTAACTTGTTCTTTTCCTTCAGGTAAACACCGAAAGAACTGTGGGTGCTGTAAATCAGGAACAAAAACAGAAGTTGCTGGAAAAGCTCGGCAGATCTGGCAGCATCCGTGAAGAAAAAATCAGGGTTAACATTTCGGTTTTGGTGACTCTTCCTTAGAAAGGTTCTGAGGAAGTTTTCAAGAAGCCATCTGATTGGGACTTAACCAATCAGGCATCGGTATAAGTGTGTTGCAGGATTTAAAGCAATTGCAGTAGTTTAAAGAAGGCTACAAAATGGCTTTAGAGCAAAACACCATATATAGTTTAAAATCTGTGTCTGGTTGGTCTTGGCAGGTTGAATAGCCCCTAGGTTTCTTGAATGCAGCTGTGAAATGCTGGAGAAAGCAAGGTGAGAACAGACTCTGTTTGGCAGGAGGATCCAAGGAGAGTAGCTTAGGAGCAATGGAAAAAGGTGGGCAGCTAGCTACTGCTAATTCAATGACCTCAGAGACTATCCTTAATTGGCTTATGAAATCTGGCAAGAGAATGCACAAATATTTTCTGAGAATGCACTAACTAAATCGCTTATAATAATTTTTGCTCCAAAAATCCCTGCAACTGAATTGAAAAATCATGAAACAGAGCTACCCTGGTTTCATTGAGTATATTAGGTCTGCTTCCTGTCGTATCATGTTTATGTGGGACAGGCACTCAATATTCAGGACATGGTAGGAATAGGGACTAGGGATGGCACTGGTTCCAGAACCAACATTGCTTGCATGTGTTTGAAAAGACAAAAGGTCTAGTTGCAGCACAAGGCATGTAGCCATTGCGTTTTATAACTACCACAAAATGAAGTTCTTCTCAGACCCATGAGGCTTCATAACAAAAACGCAGCTGCGTCACACATGATCCACAACTGACCTCATATTTTGGAGGAACACAGGGCCGTACTTTCACATGTTTGCGTCAAAAAAGGAAGCACAGTGCTAGGAAGCATCGGCACACCTCAGTTTGGCTTGACATTAATATATAGCTCTAGCATTATTCTTCATGCAGCCATCCCCCCTGTCAAGGTTTGAGAGTTGCTTATGTTTGCTGAGTTACAGAGTCATAGAGTCATACAGCACGGAAACAGACCCTTCCGTCCAACTCGTCCATGCCGACCAAGTTTCCCAAACTAAACTCGTCGCATTTGGCCCATATCCCTCTAAACCTTTCCTATTTGCATACCTGTCCAAATGTCTTTTAAATGTTGTAACTGTACCTGCATCTACCACTTCCTTAGGCAGTTCATTCCACATAACAAACCCTCTTTGTGAAAATGTTGCCTCTCAGGTCTCTTTTAAATCTTTCTCTTCTCACTTTAAACCTATGCCCTTGAGTTTTGGACTCCCCCACTCTAGGGAAAAGATGTTTGCTATTCACCTTATCTATGCCCTTCATGATTTTATAAAGCTTTGGTTTGAATGGAAGCCTTTAATTTTACTCACCAAGAGAAGGGTCTATGGATAATGGGATATTTATGCGTTGGAGGAAAAAGGAATTAATTGAGTGGACAGATGTGTTAGCCAAGAGCATGTTTCCTGTGTGGGAGTGTTTCCCAAGCAGCACTATAAAGGCAGTCTGGTTTCAACATGTTGTGAGATTAGAGGGGGCGAGGCATTACGCTAGTGTTCACCATTATCTAAGCCTCAAAGAGATGGAGACAGTAAGGACTGCAGATGCTGGAAGCTAAAGTCAATAAACGTGGAGCTAGAAAAGCACAGCTGATCAGACAGCACCCGAGGAGCAGAAAAGTCAACGTTTCGGGCTGAAACCCTTTGTCAGGAATCTCAGTTAATTTTCGTGCTCCTTCGCTGCTGTTTGACTGGCTGTGCATTTCCAGCTACATGTTTATTAACTCAAAGGGGTATGTGTCTACTCAAATCAGTGGACATACTGAACCAGTACTCAGCAGCAGGAACACGGTTGAAATTGGCACAGATAAGGCTGTTCTCCCTCAGAATGAAGCCAAATCCAGTTCAGACATTCTCCAAAGATAAATACTGGCAAGAATGGTGTCGTTGAAAGGAGTTTGCAAATTCAAATCCTAATAATTGGTTGTCTTTGCTGTTGCAAGGGAAGATTTACAGGGTTCGGAGGAAAGGGCCATATTATAACAATACATTACAGTAGTTTGAGAAATGTTGAAAAAATTACCAAACATTGCAAGTGATGCAGTGCTGTACTGGTTAGTGATAAGCTTTTGGATCACCTCCCTCATGGGACCAATGCATTTACGGCCATCTCCAATCTCATCTGGTTTACAGGCACACCTGAATATTTAAAACAAACAGTACAACTGAATCAGTCACTGTGATCCCATGCACTGGCACTGATTTTATAAATAGTGCAATATAAAGGAGTTTTGAAAGAATCTTTTTAATGAAAGTTAAGCTCAGCTTATATTTAATGATTTAGTTGCTTCTACTGAAAAAAGAATAATTTGCAAGATGGATTCAGGAAAAACTGATTCAAAGATCTCTCTGTTAATGATAGGAAGACAAAACATTAGAAGTCACACACTTTCATTGGAAATAACAAAGAATTTTTTTTTGCATTCATATAGCATCTTTCATCACTACAGAACCTCCCAAAGCACTTTAGTCAGAGTAGCCACTGTTGTAACACAGGAAACACAGCAGCCAATTTATACACAGCAATCTAAGAAACTGCAATGTGATAATGACCAGATAATATGGCTCTTTCTGATGTTGAGAGGCAAATATTGACCAGAATAACTCCTCTGCTCTTCAACGAATGGTGTTATGGGTTCTTTTATGTACACCTACTAGGGCATATAGGGCACTGGATCAACATCCCAAAAGACAGCAGCTCCAACAGCTCAGCACTTCAGCTGTGATCTTTGTGCTCAAATCTAGGAAGAGAAATGAACTTTCCCAACTTTCTGAGATAGAAGCAAAGGTGCTACTAACTGGATTACAACTGACAGCAAAAACAGATAGTAAAAACATTCATGATCACATTTGAGATGTCACTAAATGAACAAATAACATGTAATAGCAAAGTATCTCTACTGTAATAAAATATCCCAAAACACTTCACAGAGACATGAACGAATCAAATATGACACATAGCAATATGAGGAGATATCAAAGCAAATGAGCAAAAGCTTGGTCAAAAAGGTTGGATTTAAGGAGTATCATAAAAGAGGAAGCAAGGTAAAGAGGCCAATGCATTACTATGATGGCTGGGTCTGTATGTCCTCAATAGAAGAAAGCTGAAACCACTATTATAAACCAAAAATAAAACTATTGGCTATTTATATTACCTACAAAGTAAAGTGTTGCAGGACTTCATCAGAACCTTTCTTTCTCTCTCAGGCTCCAGCTACAAGTGATCTGAAATCAACTGGCATCACCAGTGATGCAGTTTAATGATTAACAAAATAGCTATTACAATAGCAGACAGGTTTAGGAGAGAATTCCAGGGATTAGAGCATTCTATATCATAAGTGGTGGAATTAACCTCAGGAAAAGCATATTCATACCCTCATGAAGTCATAGGAAAAATGAACACAAAGATTGGAATTAATCATTTCAAAGATCTTATCTGGCCATTCTACATTCTGCTAACTAAGGCTTAAGCTTTTAAAAAAAACCATAATATAACATTATCTATCCTTCCTTAGATGGAAGTTAGGGTTCCAAACTCATATCCTTTTGCCTTTACATGGTCCATATCTCTCTATTCCCTGCCTATGCATGTATTTGCCAAGATGCCTCTTAAATGTTGTTATTATATCTGCTTCTACCGCCTCCTCTAGCAGTGCATTCCAAAAACTTACCCTTCGTGTAAGAAGTTGCCTCTCACATGTCCTTTAAACTTTTCCCCTTTTACCTTAAACGTATATCCCCTAGTAATTGATATTTCTCTTGTGGGAAAAAGGCTCCAACTAACTATTCTATCCATACCTCTCAAAATTTTACAAATCTCTATCAGATACCCCTCAGACTCCGACATTCAAGTGAAAACAATCGTGTCCAACGCCTCCTCAGAGCTAACACACCCCGAACCAGGTAACAGCCTGGTAAACCATTCTGTGCCCTCTCCAAAGCCTTCACATCCTTCTGGTGGTGTGGCAACCAGAACTGAACATAATATTCCAAATGTGGCCTAACTAAAGTTCTATACAGCTGCAACTATTTTTATAATCTATACCCTGACCGATAAAGGCGAGCATGCTATATGCCTTCTTGATCATATTTTCCACTTGCGTTGTCACTTGCAGGGAACTGTGGACCTGTATGCCTAGATCCCTCTGTATGCTTCTAAAGGTTGTGCTATTTATTATATACTTCCCTCCTGCATTAGATCTTCCAAAATGCATCACCTTGCATCTGTCAGGATTAAATTCCATCAGCCATATCTCCGCTAAAGTTTCCAGCCTTTCTATATCCTCTATCCACTATCCACAGCTCCCCCACTCCATTTGCAAAAATAATTAACCAGACCACCTATAATCTTTTCCAAATCATTTATATATATATATTATGTTACAACAACAGGGGCTACAGCACTGATCCCTGTGGAACACCACTAGCCACAAATCTCCAATCAGAAAAACATCACCATTATCATTGAGCCAGCTCTGTATCCATCTTATAGCTCTCCGTGAATCCCATGTAACTTTAAGTACTTTTTATTGCAGTACCTGCATGCTTTCTCTATACTATGTATGTTATAATTATACCTGTGAATACTGAACTCACAGCCTCCTCTAGATTTCTTCATGATATGGAATAAATGAGCAGCAGTTTCATTTTCCAACAATGATATGTGTTTAACAAGATCAACAACAGAATATCAACATTAAAGAGTTTGCTGGCAAACACTTACTCAAAATTTCCAGGTGACACAGTTACACACTTCGCTGTCTTATTACAGAGCGACGGCTTGCAGACATCTTTCAAGATGCAACCCTGTGAAGAATTTGTGGCGACAAATCCATCTTTGCATTTGCAAGAAGACTTTAAAAAGAAAATAAATTTCTATGGAATTCATTGTCTGAGATAAAATCACCAGAGTGTCACATACGTAACTTGAAAACATGCATGGGTCAAAAACATTTCTCTCATTCTTTCCTGATCTAGCCCATAGCTGTAAAGGTGTAGATCATTCTCCTGTTCAATTACTGATCATAAGTAACCATTCCTTACATGGGAGTCATGAAACTGGGTACTGGAAAACATTTTGAATTTAGGCCTTACTCACATTTATCTTATTTGTCACAACATATATATTCCTGGTCAGATTACTGAACAGTGCAGGTTGGTTAACTCAGTTTTGTAATGTAGTGTAACGTCAGCAGAATGGGTTCAATTCCACATGAGATTATCACGAAGGACTCTCCTTCTCAACCTCTTCCCTTGCCTGAAGAATGGTGACTCTCAGGTTAAACCACCAGCAGTTGTCCATCTCTGAGACAGCAGTCCTATGGTGTGGTGGGATTGTGGTGACTTTACCTTTACTTTTACTGGACAGTGATCAGGAGTTTGCTGGCAAACACTTACTCAAAATTTCCAGGTGACACAGTTACACTTTCTCTCCCAATGACCTAGATTTATTGAGGCAAATTGAAGCTCTCCCTACTAGCCTTCCCTCCATTCTCTTTAGATAAAATCAGAAAATTTCAGAACAAAACCAGAAACTAACCATCAACTATTACAAGGGAACTGAACAAAATATGTCAATCTAAATTACTTTGATTTCAGATCATTTGATAACAATTCTTTTATGAATAAATCAGGCAATTTCTTCATTTGAAAAGTTAATAACATGCAAATTAAATCAAGTATTTAATTAAATGTACCTTCCCTGGTCCCTCATAGACGCACAAAGTAGAATTTTCTGGACACCCACCATTATCTATACTACAAGGATTGACTGGTAAACAAATCTTTCCATTTCCATGGTAGCCAAGATGACAGGTACATTTATATTTTCCTTCTCCATGGTATTGGCAGACTGCATTCTTGTCACAGATGTTTGCAGTACATGGATCTATTGCTACAGTACAGAATGACAATTAAAGGATTTAATTTAAAAAAACAATGATCATAAATTTCTCTGACAAACATTTTAAACAGTGGCTATTATCAATCTATACAACGTGGCACCACACAAAGAGGATGAAAGAGTTTATACAATGAATTCATACAGGATTATGATTAACAATCATTTCATTTGTACCATGCATCATATAGTTATTAATGTAGATGAAACTATTGCCAAATGCTTTATGGTGTGGTACCACCTACGTTAAAAAATATTGGCAACATTTTACATCATTTAACTGCAACTTCAGATTGTGTGCAAGTGTGAACATGGCCTGGTCAGGCCACACTTAACAGTAATGCGCACTACTCTGTCTCCATTCTATAAACAGGATAGAGTAACTCTGGTTTGCATGCAAAAGAAAATTATATGTAAGGATGGTACCAGAGCTAACAGCTTACTGAAACCAGAAAGTTGAACAAGTTCCAGTTGCTTCATTTCAAAACAGAAGACTTACAGGTGAACATACAGAGTAAAATTTTCCCAATCCTGCTGTTGTGAGAAAGATGGGAAAATATGGAATGAAAAGCAAATCAGAATCTCAACGCTGAGAGTGTTTTTACAATTTTCCCCTCAAGCCAGAAATGGTGACTTCACAATCTTACCATTGAGCAGTGGGTGCCTTATGCCCATGCATTTCCATCTCACTAAAGCCCAACTTGCTCTATTTACATAACAAGTCCAATTCTTCTCCCCTTCCCTGAGAAACTAGATGCTACAAATTCCGGACATATAAGTCAGAGCAGCTATCTGGTGGTTATAGTTCATTGAATGCTAATCCCAGCCCTCAGCCAACTGCTTCATCAAAGCAATGCCCCTGCATGGATCATGGCCACCATCTTCCTGACCCTTCATCTATACAAGTTACCATCAGCAACCCACAGCATAATACCTGCTGGTGGACCAATTTACACACCATTCAGCCCTTTAACACTTTGGAGCTCAGGGACACCAATGTCTTGTATGATTCTGACAAGTCCATTTGGGCAAGGGGCAGATGCATCATTTGCATCTACAATGGATGCATCTTAAGGTGTTTCTCTAGCGTTCACTCACTAGGCACTTATTTCGAGGCTGCCAGCTTCTGTATGTAATTCACATTGCAGCTTCACTGACTTCAGTGCTGACTTATAGGCTGCCAACTGCTGTGGGATTCCAACGCTTTTTAGCACAACATCTTCAGGGCTCAGTCATAGGCTGGCAGCCGCTGTGGCACTGGGTCCAAAGATTGAAATCGACTGTTCAATTGCAGAGGCTGAGACAGTCAATCTCACTGCCTGCCTGCCTGCAGTCCCTCACCATGTGTGTGCGGCTCAGACAGTCAATCTCCCCACCTACCCACGGTCCCTCAGTGTGTGCTCCATGACAATCAATCTCACTGCCTGCCTGCAGTGGCTGGAGAAATGTGTGTGCTTTAACAGGCATTGAAGCTTGTTGCATCATGTTTCAGTTTGGTTCAAGTAGATAACCAATGCAGGGTAAAGTAAGTTTTGTGATGGTAATATAAACAAATAAGTAAGAAATAAACTGATGTGTCAAGCCAGTATATTACAGTACTGCAAACATAGGAGGCTATTCAGCTCATCATGTCCATGCAGACTCTGTGCAAGAGCTGCTCAGCTAGTCCTGTTCCTTTCACCTTTGTCTTTGGACCTGTAGTTTTTTTTTGTTCAGCTTTTATGAAATAGGTCAATGCAATACAAAGAAAAATTACAGGGAATGCTGCTGCACCCCATATCTGATATCCAAGCAACGTAAGCCGATTAGGGCCTTGGAAACAAATCACGAGCACAGGCATGATCTCCTGTACCTCCAGCAGCCAGCAACATTTCACATCTTCCAGAGGCCAATCTGCAGCATTACCTGTGTGATTGAGATGTCACGAGCCATTAATTGAAGCAATAATGATGAGTGATGGATCTAGACTGTCTAAAAAGAAACTAGCAACTTACAACTTTCATGTGAAATGGGAAAATGAATTTCTGTTTACAACTCTAAAAGACAAGAGCGTTTGCCTTATATGTCACTGAAGTATATGAATAAGTAAAGAAGGGAACTTGGGACAAAGTACACAGCGACGCACACCATATTCAAGGATAGTTTTCCATTGAATGGCGTGCTCCAGACAAAGGAAGTTGGTGAGAGCTGAAGGTCGCTTCGAAAGATTTTTTTTGTTTGAAAATCAGCAGCAAAAAGTAAGGCCTGAAATGAAGCATCATTTGCATTTACCATCTTTTAGATAAACACAAGAAATCACTCACAGATGGCATGGTAATTAAAGAAGCAACAACTGTGGCCACTGACTCTTTATTCAAAGATTTTAAGAACAATGAATAAAAGCTAACGGCAATCCAGAGCAAATCACTTGGTACTTCCACAGTAGCAAGATGAGTGAAATCTTTGGCTAAAGATATCTTTCAACAACTACAGCAGGACCTGAAGGACTGTGAGTGATTCTTACCACAGTTCAATAAATCCACTGATATGACCAACACAGCTCAATTAATAGTTATTGTGTACATAGTTCTACAGGATATGACAACTAAAGATGATCTTCTCACCCTTTTGCCCTTAAAGAGAGAAGAAGGAATGAGGATATCTTCAACTAATTCAGAAGGTGCATGCTTGAGAAAAACATTCTAATCAAGAAACTGGTTTCCATCATAACTAATAGTGCACCAGCTATGTGGGTTTTGTTACATTTCATAGAAATGATCCAGATTTCTCCTCGTTCCTTGATTACCACTGTACAATCCATCAGCATGTATTGGTGAGTAAATCAATGGACTTTTCTCATATAATGAAAGTTGTTAAGATTATAAACTTGATTCAAGCCGCAGCCATCCAGCATCGCTTGCTTAAATCCTTATTCACTGAAATTGATGCTATCTACAATGAACTAACCTTCCACGTTGATGTGAGGTGATTAAGTCGAGGGAAGATTCTGCAAAGGTTTTTACATATGATGCCTGAAACAGTCACTTTTCTTACATCAGGTACAAAGTGTACATGGAGCTCTCAGATAATGTGTGGCTGCTCAACTTTGGGTGTATCTTACAGACATAACTTCAAAGCCGAACAAACTGAACTGGGAATTGCAGCAAGGATAGAAATTCAACAAATATGATTGGTACTGTGAATGTACTCAAATTGAAACGGATCTGTGGTCCTCCCAAGTGAAAAAGTAAATGCTGCAACACTTTCCGAGTCTGAAGGAAACATACCAGAAAATGTCAAAGGCAAAGAAAAATGGTTCCACACAGAAAACATCTGTACACACCTAAGGAAGTTAGAGGAATTCAGCAGGCGATTTCAGAAAGCAGTATGATGCTACAAATCATTGTGCTTGTTGTAAATCCATTCCTTCAAGTTGACTTTGGCGAGTTGGCTGTGGCATTGGTGGGTTGATCTTTAAAATCATAAATAGATTTGAAAGAGCAGAAGGGGAGAAAATGATGCATCCACTTATGGCTCATAGTTTCTGATTCGCCCACAAGACTCAGATAGTTCCTTATGGGAAATGAAGAGAAATGAAAGAATGAAAGAAATGTTTTTACTCAAAGAGTGGTTAGAATTTGGAATGCTGTACTGCAAAGTGATTAAAGCAAATAGTTTAGATGTTTTCAAAAGAAAAGTAGACAGTTCACAAAAGAAAACGAATTAGGAAGATACGCAGAAAAGTTGGAGTGAAGTAAATAAAGTGGGAGGACACTCATATAGAGTGGGAACTTTGTCAGAGATTGGTTGGACTGAATGGCCTATTTTTGTGATGTATAATTTAAGTTAAGGTCGTATGTCAGTGATACACACTTAAGATCAAAACTATTAAAAATATGTAAGTAAACTGAAATATTGTGAAACAAAGACACTGCAAATAAATGCTCATATTGTACAAAAACATTGCTGAAGTTTTGATTAAGAGGAAAATTTGACCCAGCCTTAATCTCCCAGATTCACACTAAATTTATCAATGTAATGTCTCCTACACTGTTCCTTCAATTCTTTTAATATTCCTTTTCCTTACCCGATTCTTTCTTAAAAACTGAATCAACTTCAATAGAATATATTCCATATTCCAACAACCTCATGTGAAAGCATCACTGTTGTATTCTTCCTACAAGTTTTTAGTATTAATCATTAAATTATGCGCCCTGTTTTGATTCACTGTAATTGAGAAGAAAAGCTTTCATTATTTACACTTTCAAATTCTTTCAAAACTTTGAACATCTTAATTAGGGCCTGTTTTAGCCTTCTCCGCATACATAAATGCAATTTTTTCTGGTTTCTGTTTAATTCTCATTGTAAATACATCCTCTCATCCGTTAACATGCCAACAAATCTGCACAAGGTTAGAATGTGAAAAATTACCAATTCCATGAAGACCTGAGTTTTAGCGAATCTATTTAATAACACGTTTCTACACTTAGGTTGATTTATATTTGCAAAAGCAGTATTTGTCCAAGAAATGTTTCCAACATCTGCAGTAATCTGCTTTTCAATGAGTCACCTTGTTGGGGAATTAAATCACTTAGAATTGGTAACATTACATTACTTAGAAACAGTATTACCTGCAGATCTTCGGTAACTCAGGGACACAAACATTCAGTTTTGAAGAAACATAATTAAATAATAGACGTCTGGCTACTTCAAAGAAGAGTCCCAAACCTACATTAACCGAATCTTTTCTTATTCCCTAGAGGAAGATTCATAATTGATCCCAGAGTCTTGCAATAACTTGGTTTTCCTTATAGTATTTCATCACCATACCTTCTGGCCACACCACAAAGCAAGCAATTCAAATAAATATGGAAGACTATTAAGTATTACTGCACAATGGCACTCCATGAATGTTTGCATGATACGTTCAGCCTGTGCTCACTGTAATGAAGGAGCAACAATGATTCATGATCAAAATACCTACTTTTTTTTAACACCTTTGATAGTGATCTGTGACTGCTACTGTCTTGACACTATTAGGTCAGAAGGAGACAATCAGATCAATCAGGCCTGTGCCAACTCTGAAGCATCAATGCCATTCTCCTATCATTTCCCAATACACATTTCTTTCTTTTCCAAATCTTTATCTACTTCCATTTCATGGATTCGGCTTCCAATTTTATTTTATAGATGCACCATAGAAAGCATTCTAATTGGATACATCTGGCTTGGTATGGCAACTGCTCTGCCCAGGACCATAAGAAACTACAGAGAGTTGTGAACACAGCCCAATCTATCACACAAGGCAACCTTCCATCCATTGACTCCAACTATACTTCTCATTGCCTTGGGAAGGCAGCCAACATCATCGAAGACCCCTCCCACCCTGTGAGAACAAATTAATAAAACAGCCTTGTGCAAAGTGTTTTCACAATAGTACATCCATCAAAACAACAGTGAAATAATTGATCAACAACAGAAAGACATAACTGCCAAAAAATGATAAAAAGAAATGTAATATGTGAAGAAAGTAGTTGAAAACTCTACCCCAGTTTAATAAATGCACTGCACAAATAAGAATAACAGCAGCAAGTACTTTGTAAACACGCATGGAAAAGGTTTTAAAAATAAAAATCATGAACTGGCCAAAACTATTATTTCCATTCTCAAACCTTGAGCAAAATTCTCTGCAAACTGTTAAGTGCTGAGAGAGTAAACTTCCTTACCCTTACAGGCCCTTTCGGACTCCAGAAAACCAGGCAGACACTTGCAGGTGAATTTCCCTACTGTTTCTTCAACACACTGTGTGTTATTTCCACATTGCAGTGACTTGCAATCAGGGGCCTCTGAGGAAAAGTAACAAACAATTATTCCATCCTTTGTACATTTCATTTTCACATCCAAATTGTGACGTGATATGCTGATAATATGAAAGTTGAAAGCATTGTAAACAACAAGGAGGTTATAATGTAGCATTTCAAAAGATAAGTTGATGGAATGGGCAGACAGATGGCAGATGAAGTTCAATGTGGAGAAATGTAAAGAGATTCATTTTGGTAGCAAGAACACGGAGAGACAACATAAAAGAAAGGACACAATTCTAAAGAAGGTGCAGGAGCAGAGGACCCTGACTGTATATATACATAAGTCATGGAAGATGGCAGGACAGGTTAAAAGAATAGATAATATTACATTCGGTGTCCAGCATTTTATTAATAGGGGTATAAGAGTATAAGAGCAAAGCGGTTGCATTAAACTTGTCTACGACATTGTCCATCCTCAGCTTAAGTATTATTGATTGTTTCAGGTACCACACTTTCAGAAGAATATGAAAGCACTGGAGACAGTGTAGAAAGAACTCTCAAGTATGGTTCGAGTGACGAGAAACTTCAGTTATGAAGACAGATTGGTAACAATAAGACCATTTTCCTTAGCAAAAAGAACGCTCAGGGAAGATTTGATATACGCATCCAAAATAATGAACAGCAGAAACAGAAAGATAAGGAGATACTGTTCCCACTCACGAAGGTGGCGAGAACAAGACAGCACAGATTTAAAATAAATGATAAAAAGAAGCAAAAGGGATTTGAGGAAAGACCTCTTTCAAATAGCTAATGGTGAAGGTCTGGATTGTGCTGCTGGAAAGTCAGATGGAGGCAAGATAAATTGAAGGATTCTAAAAGCAATTAGACTAAATTAGTCTAGGGTCATAGAGTCATAGAGTCATAGAGATGCACAGCATCTTTGAATCAACTCGGTCATGCCAACCAGATATTCTGGGTTCTGAGGAAGGGTCACTTGACCCAAAACGTTAACTCTGATTTCTCTCCACAGATGCTGCCAGACCTGTGAGCTTTTCCAGCCATTTCTGTTTTTGTCTCAACATCCTTGTAAATCTTTTCTGAACCCTTCCAAGTTTAAAAGCAGGGAGATTAGAACTGAAGACAGTATTCTAAAAGTGGTCTAACCAATGTCCCGTACAGCCATAACACGACCTCCCAACTCTTATAGTCAATGAACTGACCAATAAAAGTAGGAGTCTACCTGCAACTCCACTTTCAATGAACAATGAACCTGCACGCCAAGGTCCCTTTGTTCGGCAACATTCCCCAGGGATCTACCATTACGTGTATAAGTCCTGCCCTGATTTGCCTTTCCAAAGTGTAGCACCTCACATTTATCTTGATTACACTGGATCTGCCACTCCCTGGCCCATCAGGCCATCTGATCAAGGTCCCGTTATACTCTGACTAGATCTAAAAAGGAAGAATTTGCAGGGTTACAGGGAAAAAGGCTGGGAAGTGACATGTACTGAAATGCTCATTGGGAAAGCTGGTGCTGACATGATGGACAAAATATCCTCCTTCTTCGTAGTATTGATTCTGCGATTCTAAGATACTGTGATTCTACAGGACTGCACTGTAAAGAGCAATTGACCCACCATATCAGTAAATAATTGTGTTGAATCTGAGCTGTCCTTTGTTTTGAAAACAGAATCCAGTCATCTCAAATGCAAAATTTTAAAAATATCAGTCCAGGGAAATCTATAAACTAAATATTATAACTGAAAACACTGCTTCTTATGATTAACAACAAGAATCCTGAATTCAAGTTAAACAATATGTTGCAGAACTCAACTATCAGCAGCGCGGACACTCTAGCAGTTAAACATTCCTAAGGCCAAGTATGACAAGGCCACTGAGTATAGCTCATTCAACATTTCCTGCAATATTCCTCCTCTTCATTTTATGTTAAGAAAGTCCTATTGAATAATGTTTTCCTTCCCTTCCAATTACCAATTCAACCTGTGAAATTTTGCACATAATGGCTATTCCCAGCCGGGAATAATAAACTTCATTATTCTATATAGATTTGTACCCAAGCACTGGACTTGAAAGAGCGAAACCTTTTGACACCTAGCTTTCTAAATTTCACAATCTGCTGCCAGGTACTTACCAATAGCTGTCTTGAGCATATAAGAAACTTAGGTAACTTGCCTTATACGCCAAAGCATTTAGATACAATTTAGATACATGTAGTGAAGATCAAGGGGACTAACCACTGCCAAACAGCACTGTTAGTTAACAAAATTAATATATAAATTGTGTTTCAATACTTTAAGGATGAATATCCAGACAGAAATAAAAATTTGGTGGAAATAAGGAAACGCACAACAGAATTAAATACAAACAAAGCTTTCTCCAGATAAAGTTCAAATCTATTCCCATTCTCTCACTTAACAATTGTACTATAGCTAGCTGCAAAAAGACTAAACTCCAAAGCAAAACTGCTTTGCCCTTCACATTTTTTTTGAAAAAAAAAACTTTTCTTCACTTTTTTGGGTGCCAGGGCTACTGTACCTCACACCGTCCCGGGTATCTTTGAGATTTTCATCAAGCCAATGTGAAACCAACCACCAGGATTTATACTTGCTCTGTGTGAAGAGATGCTTTCTGTTTGCTTTTTCTGAACAATGATGAGGCCTAATTCCTAAGGGTGTAAGTGAGAAGATTCCGGCGAGATCCTTATTCTGCTATCTGTGGTCATCACACTAGGTCTGCTGATACAACAGGAATAATTTTAATCTAACTAACCAAGCTGGAAACTCAACAGTGAAGCACTGATTTTACGCCATGTCTCACATTACTCCTCATTGCCTTCAATTGGGAATATAGTCATAAAATCCCTACAGTGCAGAAGCAGGTCATTCAGCCCATCGAATTTACACCGACCCTCCAAAGAGCATCCTAGCAAGACCCAACCCCCTACCTTATCCCTGCATTTCCTATGGATAATTCACCTACCATGCACATTCCTGGACACTGTGGGCAATTTAGAATGGCCAATCCACCTAAACTGCACATCTTTGGACTGTGGGAGGAGATCTGAGCACCTGGAAGAAATCCATACAGACATGGGGAGAATATGCAAACTTCTCACAGACAGTCACCCGAGGATGGAATTAAACCTGGGTCTCCGGTGCTGTGAAGCAGCAGCGCTAACCACTAAGCAACCGTGCCACCCCAGATGTGGCATAAAAATCAATGTTTCATCTGATCCCTTTAGATTAGTGAGATAGGCTAAAGCTGCCCCCATTACATCAGCTCGCAGTGCTTTTAACTGACCTACATTAAGAAAGCATAATTACCTTGATCACATTGTGGCCCAGTGTAACCAGAAAAGCAAGTGCACTTTCCATTTCCAGTGATCCCATTGCTGCAGATTCCATGTACACACCTGCATCCTTCAAATAAACAGAACGGAGTTAAAAACAGCAAACATCATTTTCAGTATCTATTCTGATTGCCGGCAAGTTTTGATTTTCAATAGTTTATGGGTGAATGCTTTAAGGAATTTTAAAGATAGTTATTATGGCAATAATTTGAATATAAACTCGGTATTGGTTGCATCATACATTCCAGGAACGTAACATGTTTGATCCTTACTGCTGTGCTGAGGTTTGCTGGTTCCCAGCCAAGATTCTGCAATTTGTTTCAGCGGCCATGGGTTAAGATGAGGAAAGGTAGTGTGAGTTCCCACTGTCTGGCTTGTGATTTAAGATGAAGCCAAACCTCAGCTCATCATGGTTTAAGATCCATCTGATAAATCTGTTGTCACTAACCTCTTTCATGGCAGTGATCTATGGGGTCTGCTTGGTCTAATGTAGCAGAAGAAACCCACATGACAGTCTAATGAGGAGTCTTGTTTTAAATAAGATGTAGTTTATTTCATGATAGCAAATAGGTACGAATTACTTTGCCATAGTAGACATTGCTACTGAAACAATGAGGAAGACTTGTATTAAACCTTTGAGATCATAAGGAATTCCCCTCCCTCGCCACCCAGTCTTGTGTTATTATATTGGGAGTGTTTAATATATTCCTCAGCATTAACTCTTTCAGACTCTACACATTTTTACAAGAGTGAGCTCTGATGGAAGGATGCATGTTTGGTGAAGGTAAGACTGAGACTTGTTGTGATGCTTGCACAGTTGAAAATCTATCAACACATGCTCAAATCTCAGACATAAATACCAGATATTTGGATAGACCTTGGTAAACATGCAATGCCTGTCTAATTATATCCTAATAAGGAGCCATGGCCTTCATAAGAACTGGGGAGTTCAGGACATCGGACATTGAAATAAAAGAAAAAAAGTTCATCATAAATGGTGCTCAGATCAAGAGAAAGCAGTCCAAATTTGCTTGACAAATAATTCTCAATTCATGCTCTGAAGTTCACATTTATTCACCGTGACTAGGTTTTGACTACTAAATTGTCCTACACTTCCCTCTACAGAGTTAAAGCAGATTAAGAGATGATAACGAAACTTTCAGGCTAAATTCAGATGCAGAAAAATGAATCAAAAATATCATCATTGAAAGCGACCTCATATTTATGTAGTGTCTTTCTCAACTTCAGGATGTCCCAAAGTGCTTCACAGCCAATAAAGTACTATCGAAGTCCAGTCACTGTTTGTAATGTGGGGAAACACAGCAGCAATGTGCCACAGACATTATGATCAGATGCTTTGATTTCTAGTGATGTCAACTGAGGAATAACTGTTAGCCAGAACAGTTCTTGAACTCTCTCTGGTCCCACGGTTATGTCCACATTAGAGGGCCTCAGTTTTAATGTTTTATTCAAATAGATTCCATCATGTTTTGATAGCCTAGAGTACATACTCACGTCTTTGTACTCTGGTGCATCTAGGATTGTTGAATATTGATGGATATAGATATTGAAAATGTAGGAAAACGTTCACTATAATGGCACTGATGAACGTAAATTTCAATTTGTTTTGCTCCATTTCCTCCTCCATAAACACACTTTACAGTCACAGTTGCCAAGAGCAGACCATAATTAAACAGAGAAGGAAAGAATTGGCATTTCTTTATCAACTTTCACAAAAGGTCATCTCAAGCACTACACTGCCAAAGAAGTACTTTATAAGTTTGATTACCGTTTTCTCACATTGCAAAAAGGCTTCAGAAACAGCAATGATATAAACAAGTAAATAAACTGATTTGACTGTGTAAATTGAAAGACAAATGGTAACCAGGGCAGTAGGAGAATTCCTCATGCTAGCCTTTAAATTATGCTATGAGATCATTTGCCTTCACCTTCAAGGACCTAGGTTAAATGTTTCAACGGAAAGTTAGGCCTCTGACAGTATTTGGTCAGTAAGGCACACAGATTTCAGCCTGGATTAGGGACAAAGGCCTGGTGTTTCATCCTCGAGGCAGGTACTGTGAGTCGGGATGATTTCTGGCCAAGCAAGACCACCTCGGGAGGAACTGTTAAAAAACACAGGATCTTCACGGTCAGCGGGATGGGTACAGGCTGTGTTTGAGTCTGTAGAGCCAGACAAGGGCACCTACTCTGGTATGGTATGGCTTCACAAAATTTTAAAAAGCCCTCGTGGACCCCACATCCAACACACTCACCATTCCTCATTTCATACCCCTGGCATTCTCACCAGGTCCTCTGACATCCCCCATGTCAAGCTACACTCCCACATCTTCCAGGACCCTCATAACACCCATGCCAACCAATATCCCTCCACTCACACGTGCTCCTTCATGCCAGTCAATGGCCCCCTAATGCCATGGCCTCCTGTACACCCATGCTTGGCTTTTCCATCCCTATTCACCCATATACACAAACCTATAGTAACAATATCATGCGTAAACAGAGTTTTAAAAATAACAATCATTCATTATGTGTCAGTTCCTTAAAAAATGCTCTGCTTTATTACTAGCAAAAAAAGTGTTAATTAACCAGACCCTGCATCATTGAACCAAGTGTCAACAGAAGAAACTGCAAGCTGTTGCAATATTGTTGAATTGACAGAGGAGATCAGAGAGCCACAGTTGTCAAACAAGCATGGACTCAGGTGTTTCAACAGAGTAATGGATGTCTGGGCTCTCAGCCAAGAATGAAATGCCTGGCTTATCATTAGTCTGGCATGTGGGAGATGGGGAATGAAGGTTGGTTGGTTGGTTGGCATAGCACAGAATGGGGGGGGGGGGGGCGGTGCAGAAGGAAGGCCCTTTGACCTTAACTTTAAAAAGATTTTCTCACGAACTAGCACTCAAACACAAATCATTCAAAAGCTGGGGCTACTCCATGAAAATTAGGAATGAGCAGGATAGGCCTATCTCTGTAATGAAGCTAGCCAGGTCGGGGTTTTTGGGTGCAGGCTCACGACCCAAACTACCCGCCACTCTTTAAAAGCACTGATGAAATTTGGAAACCCCAGCAATGGGAATCGGCAATTCCACAATCGGGAATGGTCCCACCATTTCCGAAGGGCTGCCAAATCAACGCAACTTGGCAAAAAACTCAAAGCCAAGAAAACTGATTTGTCTTTTGAACTGTTCCCATTATCCAAGGAATCCTGGGCAAGAGATAATTTTATTACATGGCATCTAACCACCTATAGGAGATATTCATAGGTTGTACGGATTAAAGTTAACCTTCCGTTAATTGTTCTGAAACAAGGAAAATTGAAGGTGTTGAAACTAGCACAATTAAACCTCTAAAACTAAACTTGTCGTCTCATTCACTATCAGTAATTGATAATGGTTATTTTACTAGATTTAAGTGAAACGTTGCAACGTAAAATATGTGCATCATTATGAAATGGACTGCAAACTGCAGGGGCCAGAATACTGTTTGCAGAAAGGAGCCGAAGAGTTTTGAACTGCATCAACTGCTCTGGGCAAGGATTTCAGCGCTTTGCAGAACTACAATCATCACTCAGAATGCTGGTTGTTTTAACAATGAACTAATGCCACTCACACTTCCAATGAATGGAGCAAAGCACACAATTCTGCAATGCTGGAAATCTAAAGTAAAAGCAAAACATGCTGGAAGTTTTCAGCAAGCCAAACAATATCTGTAGAGAAAGAAACATAAGCTGAACCTCTCCAGTCAATACAACCACATGAATCAGGAGGAGTAGATTATTTGGCCCTTCAAAACTGTTCTGCCACTCAATAAGATCATGGTTGATCTGCCTGTGTTACAAATTCCTCTTTCTGATCTTTCTTCAATACCCACGATTACCTTTCCTAACAAGAATCCATCTATCTCCACCATTAAATTATTCAATGACTGTGTTTCCATCACTTTCTAATGTTAGAACCTTAGATGACTTTTCATTATTTTTATTTTCATTCTTTTATCAACTTTGCTTTAGAGCTGGGAGCTGGAAACTTTAAGCTGAAGATAATTTGTGAACTTTGGGGAACAGGTTGTGGTAAACGGAAAAGAACAGACCAAACAAACTTTTGTTTGGTTGTGAGGTGAGACCTGGAGATTAATTGATTTTGGATTGAAAGGATCCTGACAGACATAGTGACCCTGGGAAGAGCACAGTGTTTACTCAGAGTCATAGACCCATAGAGTCATAGAGTCATACAGCACAGAAACAGACCCTTCGGTCCAACATGTCCATGCCAGCCAAGTTTCTCAAAATAAATTAAACTGGCCTGCATTTGGCCCATATTCCTCTAAATCTTTCCTATTCATGTACCTATCTAAAATTCTTTAAATGTTGTAACTATACCTGCATCTACCACTTCCCCTGGCAGTTGATTCCACACACAATCCAACCTGTGTGTGAAAAAGTTGCCCCTCAGGTCCCTTTTAAATCTTTGTCCTCCATCCTTAAAAATATGCCTCCTAGTTTAAAACTCACCCAGCCTAGGGAAAAGACCTTTGCTATTCACATATTCTATATCCCTCATGATTTTATAAACCTCTATAAGGTCACTCCTCAACCTCCTACGCTCCAGCGAATAAAAGTCTCAGCCTATCCTTATAACTCAAACCCTCCAGTCCTGGCAACATCCTGGTAAATCTTTTCTGAACCCTCTCCAATTTAAAAATATGCTTCCTATAGCAGGACGGCGAGAATTGTACAGAGTATTCCAAAAGTGGCCTCCCCATCGTCCTGCACAACCTTGACATGACATTTCAACTCCTATTCGCAATGATCTGAGCAATGAAGGCACATGTGCCTTCCTAACCACCCTGACTACCGGTGATGCAACTTTCAAAGAATTATTTACCTGAACCTCTAGGTCTCTCTGCTCGAGAACACCACCCAGGGCCCTACCATTAACTGTATAAGTCCTGCCCTTGTTTCTTTTACCAAAATGTAATACCTCGCATTTATCCAAATTAAACTCCATCTGATACTCATCAGATCATTGGCCCAATTGATCAAGATCCTAT